AGATATTGTCCAAGATTAACCTTCAGGGTGGATATAGCTCGTTAGCAGCCTCGTGCCGATGACCTAGTTGATGTCATCAATCTCCCAGAATGCTTTACGTGTAAATAAAATGGCCCCATCCGTGTAATAATTTTTTTAACTTTTAGTTTAAAAATGATAAAAATGGAACATCCTACAGTATTTTCAGTCTTTATTTTACAGTTAAAATGTATGTTTATCATATAAAGTCTAATGTTAAAACTAATCGGGGATCCCTTTAAGGTCTGTATTATTCCTCTCAGTATTTTTGCCTGGTATTTCTGTGTTAATGATGAACTATATTAAAATCAAGCTAAATCAAATAGCATCTCTTATAATTGTGAAGGTGGTCATCAGGAGCCAGTTTAAGGACCATCAGTGAATCACTGCAAGGAACACTGAAATGTGTTTATTTGAGCTGGAATCAGACTCTGGCTTCTTTCTTATAAAATAAAACAAAAAAAAGTGGTTTGTGTGTTTTGGCTGAAGGGTCCRTGTATATATCTGTGTCATCAGCATCTTGCTGTGCTGCATCCTGAGGTGGTTTCATGTAACCATTGCCAGTCTGGCTGTGAGCTGAGGGCTGCAGGGAGGTGGTGAAGTGATTTCTGTGCTCCAGAGCAGGTGTGAGGAGGCTTACAGCCAGAGTCAAGGTTAGCTCACAGCAGAGGGGCATAAAGCGCAGGGCTTTGTCCAAGAAAATGCAGCAGTGCTTCCAGTACATGAGTCAGATTTGAGAAAAAGAAAGGGGAAAAAAAAGAAAATAAATAAAAGCCTGCTTCTGTCTATAATCTTAGAAAGCGTGACAGAAACCTCGTTTCCTGAAGCTTTCTGTCACTCATTAGAATCTGACTGATTGGTTCTAAAAGCCRGCTCCCGCTAGTTCTGTGTGATAATCAGCTCATTTCCACTTTGTTTCTGCTTCACTTTCTTGGTTTGTTCTCGTCTGTCTGACATCACGCAGCGTTGGAGCTTTAAAGCTTTAATGATGAAAAAGCTGTCAGAGAATGCTGACCCATCCGTAGAGGTGGAGAGAAAAGCGAAAGCTCTGCGTGGCTGTGCTCCCTCGTGTGCCGTTCTTTGTGAAAAACACCATCTTTCCTCATTGTTAACAACCACCTCGTGTTAGGAAGAGGGGGAGACAAGTAGTTTACTTCATCCTTGAAGAGTCTAAGCGAGGATGGCTGATAAATTGTTTGATGCTGCTGCATATAAGTGCGATACAATTTGGACTGCTTTGCTGTAAATGGCAGTTTGAAACGAATTGGAATGAAACTTCAAATGGGTTTTTTTTGCACCTTGAGATACGAGAATACATAAGTATTTCTCATCACTTTTTTTCTTATTTTTCGCTGGAAGGCTGTAGTGCTTAACACACATGCGCGCACACACACACACACACTGACAATAAACCGATGCTTTGTTTTAGCGACAGAGCCAGGGCCAAAAACATGTGCAAACACGCTGATTTTGCCGTAAACTCGTGTCGCTGTGTTTGGAAAGCGCAGATGGAAACCAGAAAAGACACGGCTGACGGGTTCCTGAGCGGCGGCCAACCAGAAGTCCGTCCTCACCAGACTGCGCAAAGCCCTGAAACGCCCCGTCCAGCGTGCAGCGCGCAGGGCCRTTCAAAGTGCTGTTGTTGGATTTAGCAGCAGACCAGAACGAGGAGTCGAATCAAGAGTAAAAGCGGCAGCATATGGTTGTAGCGAAGTGATGAAATTGAAACGCCACTTACTATTTTCAGACAAGCTGCGTAGGTTGAAACATGCTGTTCTGCTCCGAAGGTGTGATGTTTTCAAAGCAGAGAAATCTCCGTCCTACTGTCTGAATATAAAAATCTTTTGAAATGTATTTTTTTTCTTTTTTCTGCCTTTAGTCCAGCAGTTATGAAAGACTTGTCTCTGTATACTCAGTGTGGCTTATGTTTTTTTTTTTTGTTAATGAACAATGCTCCCTTCCAATAAATGACTTTGCTTTCCTTAAACTTCTGTGACATCTGCTGCACTCACAGGTCGTCACTGCATTTGTAGAGACTATTGCCTCCGCTTACATAAATTGTGTGTGGTCACTCCTCATCTCATGGGTGGTTTACTGTATTGATGTTTTGTCTCCCACAGGTTGTAACTCTGGGGAAGAACAGCAATGGTTACCACTACATTCTGGCCAATCTGGTGAGTAATGAACGTGCTGATCCCCAGAGAGGGGAGTGGAAGCTACTTTTTGCTTCATGGGATAGAAAAATGATGTCCGTTCAGTGGCTTCTGAAGAGCATAAAGACTCCCCTTTTTGTAATGTTACAGCCTGATGGTACAATCAATTAAAACTGTTTTTTCTATATCAATCTGCACTTATCATCCCATATTAACAAAGCRAAAACAGACCCATAGACCTGAGCCTTGGATCTGAGCAGGCCATTCATTTGACCTCATTTCCTTGGACATGGAATGAGGCTTTTTACAGAGAGGTGTGTGCAATTCCAAATCACGTTATTTTACCATAAAGGGGTTTAAAGTTGTAACGTCTCCGCAGTATAAGTTTTGATTGTTGCTACAAAAGGTCCGAAATCTTTGTAAATGGAATGTTTCAGTTCCATCTCRGTGGTAAAGCATGGTGGTAGCAATGTTTTTCAATTCAGTTCACTTCTATTTATTTATGTAGTGCCTTTTCACAACAACAGTCATCTCATGGCACAGTACAGTAAAAAAATACAACTGAATTAAAATGTAATTCAAATCCCATCGAAGTCAATTCAATACACTGCATTCTTAAGCAGTAAATATGAAATGTCAGTTAGTAGAAAAATGACCTATTCAAGGTAGTCAACAAATTGTGTTAAATCTTTCATTTGGCAAAATTGCCCATCTTGAGCAACATGGAGGCAACAGTGGAAAGGAATGAATCCCTTTATAAAGAAAAAAACTTTCACTAGAACCAGACTCAGGATGGGTGGACATCRACCTCAGCCAGCTGGGGCAGGGAGGACAGGAGAGGGACACAGACAAACACAAGATTGGTCTAGGTGTAATTATTATGGTAAGAAAAACACAGTTTATTGCAGCAATAAATAAATTGTAAAAAAAAAAAAAGTGAATACTGAATGCGGTCCCAAGATCATCCTAGTTCATTTGCAAGGCATCGTAATGCAGTGAAAACCAAACAACAAAACACGAGAATGAAAAGAAACTACAGTATGTTCCTTACTGTATAGTATTTATTGTATTTCCAGTTTCTGAAAAACTACAGGGATTACCACAACCTAAGGGTAGTCAGGCTGTATAAAAAAATCTGTGAATGGCTATGTCCGCAAATCTGAGAGTAACACAACTAAACAAAGCAGCAGAGAGAGAAAATGTGGTCATTTTGTCCTCCGGCAGTCTAAATCCACAGCAGCATAATTAATGGATGGCCAAAAAAATAAAAAAAATAAAAAACAAGCCAACCCTAACTATAGGATTTATCAAAAAGGAAAGCCCTTAACTCAAAAGTAGACAGGGTGTCAGCTTCACAAAGAGAAACTGGATGTCAGACTCTTATCCTACATTTAAAAACTCTAGAAACCACAAACAAACCTGCCATCTTAAATCCTATTCTGACTGGATTAGTTTAACCTGGGAACCACATGCTATTTGTAATAATTGCAGAGATTGTCTGTTTTGTTAATCCCGTGCGAATCGGCCATGTCAATAATTTGTAAAGTAAAAATTCCCCCGTAAWYTMCCTACYMYAWTTCGCTGAACTCCAAGGTCCTGTGATATTACTAATCCAATGTGTTTAGGCATCTCTGTGGTTTGGACAATAATGGGCAGAAAACGATATGTAATTAGGCATTTGTTTTTCTTTCTTTAATTTTTTTTCCTGAGCACATTTCTATTGGAGCTCACTTAAAACCTTTTGAGCAAAACTTGACTCGTAACATGCGGCATCAAAATGAAAAGGATGAAGAGTAGGTGCAAAATCAGGTGCAAATCATGGCTCACATCATGCATTGCACTGTGCCATGAGAATATTTTGTTTCTGTTTGTAGCCTTCTGGCTGACGCTGAGCGCTGAGCAGTGGCCGTAGAGCAGCGCAGGCTCGTTTATAGCCGCGCTTTGGGTGCTCGCACCGGGTGTGTGCGCACCCTCGCCACCTGTGCAGGTGTTTAAATTTGTCGCTTACATTGTTGTAGTGTTCTCAAAAAGGACATGTGGCAGAACACTTCATAAATTATGAACTGTTTTAAATCGAAGAGTAAAGGCTGGATAAACAAACAAACTGCTTGAATGATGTACGTTGTTCAACGTGCGCAGCAAAAACAGGAGTGTTAAAATTTCAGTGTTAAACTTTTGGGYGTTGATTTAACACCCACTAGTGTTATTTTRACACTTTCTGASTAAATTGACRCCCAGTGTTGGTGTTAATTCACAATGTTGATTTCCTCAGTGTTGTATCAACACTGGACAGTGTTAAATAAGCTCCGCCYACWGTTAAGTTTTATATAACACTAATCAGTGTTGTTATTTGACACCATGMAGTGTTGAAAGAAKYATTCTGAAAAGCMCCRCCCTCTTCCACCTCATGTCTGACAGACCAGCATTTACCCAGCATTCATTGCTGAGAAATCATGCAGAAATGATGTGTTTGCATGTTTCTGACTATTAAAGACGTTCATGAGAGTAAAAATTAGTTGTTCTGGTTTGTTTTCTTGTTCAGTTTGATCAAGTTGTTCAAGTTTAAGTTTTTGTTATTGGCCAAAAATCGACACCATGAGTGAGATGTAGGTCCTGGTGTGTGAAGGTCGACTCCATTATACTTTTCTATTAACTACTGAGCGGTGTTAATGCAACGCTACAAAGTGTTTGATATTAACTCTGAGTGTTAAATTTACACTCTCAAATTCAAGGGTGTATTGATACCTTTTGGTGTTCATTAACCTTTCTAACATCATAATTTCCTTTGTTAATAATAATACATTAGTGTTATTTTAACACTTTATTTTAACACTGTTGAAATGTAAATATAACGCCCAGTATTGTTGAATATTTAACACTGGCTGGTGATACTTTTAACACTATATTTTAACACTAACATTATTTTTATGTTAATGTGACACCTAGKAYTGTTGAATAKTAAACACTGGTTGGTGTTAARTTAACAAAAAAAATGGGTGTTAAAATTTAACACTTTCACAAATTTTACTTTAACACCAGCGAGTGTGGACACATATAGACAGTTTGTTGGTGTTGACATTAACACTGTGGGTGTTAAATTAACACTGGCAATTTTGCTGTGAACCAGGCTTCAATATTTATATCTGGGAGATGTCCGTAAAGTTCAGGAAAATCTCAGGCTTTGGTTATCCCGTGCGAATGTGCCACATAGAAAACAGATGTCGGGGAGTAATTTATTTATTACATGGGGTCTATAGATAATGCTCATCCAGTGCGAAAAAGGCTTTACAGTGAAGTGCTCTGATATGAAAGTTAAGGAACAAAAATATCTTTACTATTAAATAGAGTTTGGTAGTTTATAGATGAGGAGTTTCAAATTATGAAAATGTCACATTTTGGCTTTTATGTTTTTAACCATTTTGCAAAACTGCACAAAGTTCTGTTTTCACTTTGTCATTATGGGATACTGAGTCAAGATTCTTAAAAAAATGTATTTCAAGAATTAACATTTCAGAAGCCTCTGGTCAGCTTTGGCAAAGGAAAAAAAGCAAGTTATGTTTGTTGTTCATGTTTATGCTTTTTACACCGCATAACCCATAATTTTGGCCTCTCAAAAAAAAATTTAAAACTAGTGAACCTTTTTAACTATCTTCAAAGGGTAGCCGTGTTTTCCCACGCTCCGTGGAAGAAAGTGCTCGTTTAGCCTTGATATAAGCGTGAGAGTTTTTAAATTGAAGGCCGGCCCTGCTGCTCTCTTGCTTGCTGACCTCCTGCTGCTGTTTCTCTGGCTTTAGAAGATGTGATTATGCATCACCCAGACACATGTCCTCGCACACCATGACACAATGCTGCACTTAAAAAAAAAACAGCATAAAAAGTAAATAACTGTCATGCCTCCAGGGTGAAGCAGCAAATTTAAAGGCTGCTAGAGTGGTGTAAGTTTTTGAAATACATTTGAAGCTGTTTTATTTTTGCTTTTTTTTTTATAGTAGAGCTGCGAAAAGAAAGTAGGCCAGCGAGTTCAAGTGTTTTGTTGTTTTATGATGTAACTCAAACAGTGGCTGGTTGTTTATCTACAACTGAATTCATATTATAGCGCCAACTCTGAAAGAAAAAAACAAACTGTAAGAGCACAATCGCACACATGTAATGCTTTCTAGCACTGCTTTTGATTCAAAATGAAACATTTGTTGTCTGTGTAGCCACTAATATGTTCGGGGCTTTGCCTCGGGTTGTATAAAACAAAATAAAGCCTCAAAGAAACAAGACAAGTTTCATCCTTTACGTGTTWTCCCTCTGTTTCATTTCAGGGATTTTCCAATGTAAGCCTGGACAAAGTCTTTGCCGGTGGAGCCAACATTTCAGGGTTTCAGATAGTCAACCCCGAGAACCCCATTGTGCAGCAGTTCGTACAGCGATGGGAGCGGCTAGATGAAAGAGAATTCCCAGAAGCCCGAAACGCTCCTCTGAAGGTACCGGAGCGTTGCAGGGCCCTTACACATGCAGAACACAGCGCAGCAATCATCCCTTCTGAAGTTCTGCCTATCAGCTTCTCCACTTTCACCCCCCCCACCATCCTCCCACCCCCACCCCCTTCGCCTTTATCATTCTTTTTCGTCCTCCCACTCCCCCGCGCTTTCCTCTGCCTTCTTCGCTTTGCATCTCGCCGAGCAATCGATATATTGATAGGCAGKCGTGGGCCAAGGTTATATTGCAGCTTCCATTTACATCTAATTAAACAATGATCAAGGAAGAAATGGATTTTGAATGCCATTTAATTAGATTTTGCCACGGCGCGGTGGTCAACAAACAAGTGGCTCAACCCCCACTGGTGGAAAGGTCAAAGAAGTTGGAGATGTGCGGAAGAGATAAAATCGCACTTTCAAATCTGTATTCACTCCTTGCATCGGTAGGAAAGTTTAAAAAGAAAAAGATCTCTACTCTTTGATCAGTTCTTCAAATTAAAAATTCCTTATCGGCCGCTGCCTTTTAAACAAGAGTTTTAAACTAGATATGCATGATATCAAGTGATATTACTAGATCTCAAACAATCTGTGAGTCAGCTACTATCATGTAACAGTTTTAWCATTATGACAACTTGAGCTTAGTGTGTGTAAAATCCACTGAGTTATGCTGTAGCTGTTCATATGTTGACTATAAGCGATTATCTCTGGCCATCTTGAATCGAACTGAGTCCAGAAGTTAATCAGCTGTAGATGTTTACCAATTCATTACTTTCAGAGTGTCAYTAAACTCCATTCAGTAAGGTATATTCTTGCTAAGAGGCAGATCCAGGGTTGACTCAAGCAGTTATTGCCAAATATATGTGCTTGTGCRGTTTTTAACACTTTAAAGTGCCTGTGAAATGTTTGTTTTTTTATTTATTATTATTATTTTTTAATTTATGTCATGAACATGAATGCATTTTTGGAAAGATAACATTGAAAACAATGCAAAAAAAACATTGTTTTTTTTAATTGCGTTGTTGAGTTAAACAGGAAGTGATGACAAAGGGGAATGTCTGCATGTGAACCGAACATTACTACAACAGCTGACAACACAGACTGTAAAGAACAGGGGCTGAGCTAGAGGTGGCACAGGGGTGGCCAAGGTGTTTTATTAAAGGGCCACATACAAATAACTCTGGATTTTAAAATTTAAAGTGGTCACCACAACAAACTTCAAATGCCTCCAATTTAGCTGTTTTATGAGAAATTGAGCTGGAATTTTATGTGATCATAGCTGAGAATAAAAAAACATGCTGATTGCTAGTTCCCATTTAAGCTAACCACTAATGGTCATTTTACAAAGAGCTACACTTAAGACATTTTTAGTCAAACACAGCTGAATGTTAGTTTAGTAGCATCGAAAACAATCTTTAACATATTATAAATGCTAATCAAAAATTCAAGATGGCCACCACAGTTAAGTCTAAATGGGTATAAATCAGCCAGTTTAAGACTTGTTAGGTTGAAGTTAGGTTAGGTGAGCTGAAATTTGTTGTGGTGTAGCTAAGAATGATCCCAAGCACATGCTGATCGCTAATACTAATAGTAGCTGATAATAATCTTTAGCAAATTCTGAACGCAAATTCAAATTACAGACTGGCCACTAGATGTCGCCAAAATCCTTAACTGGTTCTTAAACCCAAAACTATTAATTCAGTGGTACAGAAAATGTTTTGTTTTTTTGTTTGTTTGTTTGTTTTACACACTGACTTCACAGATGATTATGCCTATTATGGTCTAACTGCCTGTCTTTGAAATGCCAAATGTAAGCCCCACCCCACTTCTCAATCATCTACTGGTGGCAACTGGTAGGTGCCAGGCTCCGCSCCTGGTAAAGAAGAGTCTGATGTTTCTTTAGATTATTTTGAATCACTATCAGAGCTAGATGAAAACAAGCCAAAGTTCAAATAATATTGTTTCAAAAAACAAAGACCAGGGAGYTCCCTTGAGTTACCCTTTTATGTCACTTCCTGTTTCACTAAGAAAGAAAGAAATATGCCAGTTACTGTATGTGACAAAACTGGTAAAATCCTGTGTTACTCCAAAATTCTTCAATTTAAAAACGTGACTATTTTTATYGGAAGGATAAACAAGGAGCTCAGTGTCTGAAAACTGAACTGAGTTGTAGCCATGCTGGAATTTTGTAAGAGCAGTTTATCTTAAACAGAGTAGACTCCATACAGTATTTTATTTGCTGTATAGTTTATCTAATTATTGCTTTGAGAGATTTTCATTCAAAAATTATTTCTGGGTTCATGAAATATTTTGCTAACAGACAAACCACACACACATGTGAAATGATTATGACCCGCTTTTCATTATTCAGCGACAGGTGACAGCTAAACTTATTGTATACAAAGTGTCACAATGACGAGGCGTTCAGGCACTGAATTACTTCTGTTGAAAACAAGATGAAGATTTTGTTTGAGTTTACTCAAAATATTGTGTATCTTCCACCTTTCTCAGTGCTTTTTCTACACACAATCTGTTTTGCTGTTTTTGTGTTTCCCTCTTGATTTCTGCACAGTACACCTCGGCTCTGACCCACGATGCCATCCTGGTGATAGCAGAGGCATTCAGGTACCTGAGGCGCCAACGAGTCGACGTCTCCCGTCGAGGCAGCGCTGGAGACTGTCTTGCCAACCCCGCCGTACCTTGGAGCCAGGGAATAGACATCGAAAGAGCTTTGAAAACAGTAAGGAATATCGCAGGAGTGGCACCCTGAAGGGAAAAAAAAGAGGCCGGGAGAGTTAGCGAGGGAGCATGATAAAGATGGAAAGTGACACAGAGAGAGCGGTGGCGGGGAGAGGGGCGGGGGCGGGTAAAGAGTGCGGAGCCGTTCTCCACTCTCTTGCCTCCAGATATCTTTGCACAGAGCTCACTCAAATCCACGGCCTCATTACCATAAAACTATCTCTTTTATTAAAGCGTATCCAGTTCATCATTTGATTAACAGACTGAGTGCTGTGGCAGTCACATAATGGACACGGGCAACCTCAATACTAGCTATATCTGCATAAAGGTGGCTGTTACATGTTACCCCCCTGTGTCCGTACATCTGTCTGTCCATCAGGTCCAAGTGCAGGGCATGACTGGGAACATCCAGTTTGACAACTATGGCCGCAGGACCAATTACACCATAGATGTTTATGAGATGAAAATAGGTGGGCCGAGAAAGGTAAGACCCCTGAAACTCGTGTAAGCCGTCAGTGTATAGACATTTGACTTGCATGCAAGTTGAAAAGTTTATTCATGATCTGTACTGAAGAATGACCCAGAGCACTCTTAATGAAAGCATAATTTATTTTATAAATGTTCTATCATTAGAATAATCATCACTATTAAACACTTATAAAACATTGATAAGTTGTAGATGTACATCCATTATTTTCTTTTTTTTTTTTTGAACATCCATTATTTTCTACACATTCCATTAAATTCCATTTTTCAAATTCACTAGTTTATGAGATATTTTGCTAACGGCGTCTACCAGTTCTTGGCAATGCTACGCAATGTGTAGCTCTTGGAGTACGTGTTGTTTTAATTTTAGCACAATGGGCCTCATGCAAGAACATGTTCGTATTCTTATCCTAAATTTCTCTTACTTTTGTTCGTA